AGAAGTCTGAGCCACAGAGGGAGACACCATCCCTAAAACAATCTTTATTTTTAATTAATTAATTAATTTTGTGTTTGAGACAGAGTTTCACTCTTATTGCCCAGGCTGGAATGCAATGGCGTGATCTCGGCTCACCGCAACCTCCACCTCCTGGGTCCCGGTTCAAGCAGTTCTCCTGCCTCAGCCTCCTGAGTAGCTGGGATTATAGGCATGCGCCACCACACCCAGCTAATTTTTGTATTTTTAATAGAGACAGGGTTTCACCATGTTGACCAGGCTGGTCTCGAACTCCTGACCTTGTGGTCCGTCCGCCTCGGGCTCCCAAAGTGCTGGGATGACAGGCGTGAGCCTCCGCACCTGGCCTAAAAGAATCTTTAAATTGTCCATGACAGGTGGTGCGTGCCTGTGGTCCCAGCTACTCAGAGGCTGAGGAGGAAGGATCCAAGATCTGGGAGTTTGCAGCAGCAATGAGCTATGCTCTTACCACTGCACTCCAGCCTGGGTGAAAAAGTAAGACCCTTAACAGGTGGACCACGGTGGCTCACACCTGTAATCTCAATACTTTCAGAGGCCTAGGCGGGAGGATTGCTTGAAACCAGGAGTTCAAGACCAACCTAAGCAACATAGCGAGAACTTCATCTCTATCAAAAATTTGAAAGAGAAAAAAAAAATTTTTTTTAATGAAACGAAAGTCCTTAATTTTATTTTGTTTTCTAAGACATCTTGTTATAGCAAGAAGTCCTTAATTTTAATATAGTCTAATGTATATATTTTCTTCATTGTAAACATTTTTGGGTCCTATTTAGTAAATCTTAGCTTACCTCTATATAATAAAGACATTCTTCTATGTTGTCTTCTAAAAGAAAACATTGTTTTACTTTCTGATTTTAGGTCTGCAGTTCATTTTTATTTGATTTTTTGTGTCTGAGATTAAGTAGGGTTAAGATCATTTGTGGGCCGGGCGCTGTCGCTCATGCCTGTAATCCCAGCACTTTGGGAGGCCAAGGCGGGTGGATCACCTGAGGTCAGGAGTTCGAGACCAACCTGGCCAACATGGTGAAACCCCGTCTCTACTAAAAATACAAAAAAATTAGCCAGGCATGGTGGCGTGTGCCTGTAATCCCTGCTACTTGGGAGGCTGAGGCAGAAGAATCACTTGAACCTGGGAGGCGGAGGTTGCAGTGAGCCAAGATTGCACCACTGCACTACAGCCTGGGTAACGAAAGCAAAACTGTCTCAAAAAAAAAAAAGATCATTTGTGGTCAGACATGGTGGCTCAGGCCTGTAATCCTAGCACTTTGGAAGGCCGAGGCAGGAGGATCTCTTGAGCCCAGGAGTTTCAGACCAGCCTGGGGGACATAGGAAGACCCTGTCTCTCTATTTTTTTTTTTTAATTAAATATATACTTTTTAAAAGATCATTTGTGGTGCTATAGTTGTGGGCGTTTAATTTGTAATTTACTTTGCTCTGTTGATCTGTCTATAATTTTTTTTTTAGATGGATTCTTCCTCTGTCACCCAGGCTGGAGTGCTTCAGCCTCCCAATGCCATCATGCCTGGCTAATTTTTTGTACTTTTAGTAGAGACAGGGTTTTACCATACTGGCCAGGCTGCTCTCCAACTCCTGGCCTTAGGTGATCTGCCCGCCTCAGCCTCCCAAAATGCTGGGATTATGGGCATGAGCTACTGTGCCCAGCCAGATCTAATTTTTTTTTCCTTTGAGACGCAGTCTTGCTCTGTCACCCAGGTTGGAGTGCAGTGGCATGATCTTGGCTCACTGTAACCTCTGCCTCCCAGGTTCGAATGATTCTCCTGCCTCAGCCTCCCGAGTAGCTGGGATTACAGGTGTGCACCGCCACACCCAGCTAATGTTTGTATTTTTAGTAGAGATGGGGTTTTGTCATGTTGACCAGGCTGGTTTCGAACTCCTGACCTCCAATGATCTGCCCGCCTTGGCCTCCCGAAATGCTGGGATTACAGGCACAAGCCACTGTGCCCGGCCCAGATCTGTCTAATTTTAAAGAAAGTATGAAGATTCAGATTTAGATTCCTGCTATTATGTTATGGGAAATCTTTTCCTAGTTTCTTCTGATTAATATAAACCCTTACTTTTATTTTTATTTGTTTTTTTACTACCATCCTCTCTCTTTTATTACTTTTTATTTTTCTTAATTTTAATATAATGAAATGTTCAATTTTTCCTGTTATGGTTAGCATTTTTTTCTTCTGTTTAAGAGGTGTTTCCTGGCTGGGTGTGGTGGCTCACACCTGTAATCCTAGCACTTTGGGAGGCTAAGGTGGGAGGATCACTTGAACCCAGGAGTTTGAGACCAGCTTGGGCAACATAGTGAGACCCTTGTCTCTATTTTTTTAAAACTAAAAAAAGAGGTGTTTCCCTAGCGTGAAGACATGAAGCTCTTCTGTAAACTGTATTGTTCTGCCTTTAACATTTCAATCTACAACCCACTAGAATTAATCTTCTGTATAAATAGCACGGGGTGGAGGTCAAACACCTTTTTTCCATATGGATATTTAGCTGTCCCAGTGCCATTTATTTAAAAGACTGTCCTGGACCTGGCGCGGTGGCTCACGCCTATAATCCCAGCACTTTGGGAGGCCGAGGCGGGTGCATCACCTGAGGTCAGGAGTTCAAGACCAGCCTAACCAACATGGCAAAACCCCATCTCTGCTAAAAATACAAAATTAGCCGGGTTTGGTGGTGCATGCCTGTAATCCCGGCTACTCGGAAGGCTGAGGCAGGAGAATTGCTTGAACCTCAGAGGCAGAGGTTGCAATGAGCCAAGATCACACCATTGCACTCCAGCCTGGGCAACAAGAGCGAAACTCTGTCTCAAAACATAAGAAAAAATAGAGGCCGAGAACGGCCGTTGCTGCCGCCAGCATGGGAACTTTGTACCGTGTCCCATTCTTAGTGCTTGAATGTCCCAACCTGAAGCTGAAGAAGCTGCTCTGGCTGCACACGCCGTTGGCCATGACTGTGTATGCTCTGGTGGTGGTGTCTTACTTCCTCATCACCAGAGGAATCGTTTATGATGTTGTTGTTGAACCGCCAGGTGTTGACTTTATGACTGATGAACAAAGGCATCAGAGGCCAGTAGCTTTCTTGGCCTACAGAGAAGGTGGACAACATATTACGGAAGGACTTGCATCCAGCTTCCTGTTTACAATGGGAGGTTTAGGTCTCATAATCCTGGATCAATCGAATACACCAAATATCCCAAAACTCAATAGATTTATTCTTCTATTCATTGGATTTGTCTGTGTCCTATTGAGTTTTTTCATGGCTGGAGTATTCGTGAGAATGCAACTGCCGGGCTATTTGATGGGTTAGAGTGCCTTTGAGAAGAAATCAGTGGATCCTGGATTTGCTCCTGTCAATGACGTGTTAAAGGCTGTCCAATCCTCTAATATGAGATGTAGAAAAGAAGGAACAGCAGCAGTAAAAGAAATATCTAGTGAGAACACAGGAAGTGTATTGAAGCTTGGACGAGAATTTCTTCTTGGTATTAAAGAGACAAGTTTATCACAGTATTTTTTTTTCCTGCTGAGCATATTGCTATACCAACGATGATGAGTGGCATGTTGTTCTTAGTTTTTCATGTCTTTAAGAAACTATAGGCCGGGCGCGGTGGCTCAAGCTTGTAATCTTAGCACTTTGGGAGGCCGAGACGGGCGGATCA